AATCTTTATTCTCACAGGGTGTAAAACACAGAGGAAATGGACAGTTTCATAGATACATATGGAATGCTAAAGCTGAGTCAAGAAGATATACAAACTCTGAATAACCCAATAATGAGAAACAAAATTGAAAATGTAATAAAAAACCTACGAACAAACAAAAGCCCACGTCCTGACAGATTCACAGCAGAATTCTATGAGAAATTTAGAGAATATTTAATGCCAACTTTTCTCAAACTCTTCAGTGAAATAGAAAGGGAAGCAATTCTCCCAAACTCATTCAGGGAGGGAAGTATTACTATGATTCCAAAACCAGAGAAAAATCCAACTAAAAAACACAACTACAGGCCAATCTCTCTAATGAATATAGATTCAAAAATACTCAATAAATAAATGTAGTAAATCATCAGCAAGATTATGCATCATAATCAAGTGGGATTCATTCCAGGAATGCAGGGATGGTTCAATATACACAAATCCACAGGTATAATACACCATATCAATAGAACCAAGAGCAAAAACAACATGATCATCTCAACAGATGCATAAAAAGCTTTTGACAAAGTCCAAAACACATTAATGACGAAATCATACAGAGAACTGGAATAGATGGTCTATATCTCAACCTGATAAAATCCATCTATGAGAAACCAACAGTCAACATCATACTAAATGGGCAAAAAGTAAAGGCCTTCATTTTAAAATCAGGAACAAGACAAGGACATCCACTATCTCCACTCCTACTGTATACAGTTTTGGAAACAACCAGAGAAATTAGACAAGAGAGAGAAATAAAAGGAATAAGGATTGGAAAAGAAGTGAAATTATCATTATTTGCAGATGACATGATACTCTACATAGAGGACCCCAAATACTGCACCAAGGGTCTTGTTGATCTAATCCCAAAATTCAGCAACACAGCAGGATACAAAGTCAACACCTAAAAATCACTAGCATCTTTATACATAAAGGATGAACACACTGAGAGAGAAATTAGGGAAACCATGCCTTTCACAATAACATCCAAAAAATGAAATACTTAGGAATCAATCTCACAAAGTATGTAAAATTTTTGTACTGTGAAAATTATGGTAGTCTGAGAAAAGAGACTAAAAAGATTTGAGTAAATGGAAAAAACATTCCATACTCCTGGAGAGAAAAAACCAACACTGTGAAAATGGCCATACTACTGAACTGTTATACAGATTCAAAGCAATCCTGATTAAAATACCATTAGTATAGCTCACAGAGATACATAAAACATTCCTCAAACTCATTTGGAATCAGAAGAAACCCAGAATGTCAAAAGCAACCCTGGGAAACAAAGAAAAGGTAAGACTTACCATAATCCCTGACTTGAAATTATACTATAAAGTTACTATCATGAAATCAGCATGGTACTGGCAATAGAGACAGATCTGAGGATCAATGGAACAGATTAGAAGATAAAGACACAGCTGCAAACACTCAGCCACCTTATCTTTGGTAAAGGGGCCAAGCAGGTTCTCCAGAAGAAAGATAGCCTCTTTAATAATGTGGTGTTGGGCCAAGGAGATTGCTCAGTAGAATAAGTGCTTCCCTGGCAAGTGCAAGGGTCTGAGTTCAATCCCAGGTTCTGGGAAAAAAAAAAAAAAAAGTTGCTTTCTGTTTGGGGGCCTGCCTCTTAGCTCAGTTCTTTAAGTGACTGCTTCTACAAAGCAGTCAGGCTCAGGTTGCTGTAGTTCGATCCCCACTATTCAAGCCAGCCAAACTTGCCTTGAAGGCATTCGGAGCAAAAAATATATATATATATATGGTGTTGGAAAAACTGGCTTTTCACATGCCAAATGCTAAAACTAGACCCATGCCTATCACCATGCACAAAGCCACAGTCAAAATGGATCAAAGATTTAAATATTAAAACAGAAACACTAAATCTTCTGGAGGAAAAGGTAGCTACAAATCTTAAACACAGGGATAGGTAGAGAGCTCATGAACAAAAACCAAACTACATGGAAAATACTTCAAGGACTCAACAACTGGGATTCATCTTTTTGAAAAGTTTCTGCATTTCAAAGCAAATTTCCAACAGAGTAAAAAGAAAACCAACAAAGTTGAAAACCTTATGGCCGACTATCCTTCAGACAAAGGCCTTTGATCTATAACATACAAAGAATTTTTTAAAAAATCAGGCTCCCAATTCAAAGACCCAATCCAAAAATGGGCATCTGAGATGAATACACACTTCTCAGAGAAGAAATACAAATGGCAAGTAAATATATGAAAAAATGTTCAACATCACTAAAACACTGAGATTCCATCTTACCCCAGAAAAAAATGGTTAGCATGAAGAAGTCAGCCAGTAACAAATGCTGGAGAGGCTGTGGAGAAAAAGGAACCCACCCTTCTGCACTGTTGGTGGGAATGCAGACTGTTACAACCACCATGAAAATCAGTGTGTAGATTCCTTCAAAAGTTAGGATTGGAGATCCTGTTCAAGTCAGCTATTCCCCTCCTGGATATTTTTCCAGAACTCAAAACCTCACACCACAGTGACATATGTGCACCCATGTTTATAGCAGCGCGATTTGTTATAGCTAAATCCTGGTAACAACCCAGATGCCTATCAACTGAAGAACAGATAAGAAAGATGTGATATTTATACACAAAGGAGTATTACTCAGCTATAAAAAAGGATAAATTTGGGTCTTTTGTTGGTAAATGCATACAGCTACAGAACATACTCTTAAGTGAAATAAATCAGACCCACATGTACCAACACTGTATTGTCTCTTTAGTGTGAGGACATGAAAGAGAAAAATGGAATCTTAAGGGTACAATAGACACTGGTAAAAAGGAATGAACCTATTCAAAAGGAAAGAATTATTGAATTGAGAAAGACAAAGGAAAGGGAGTCAGGGAAGAAGATTACCAAAAATAATGGGTACACAATTTAACACACCAAATAACTGGCACTCTTACATACCTAATTTCTTTTAGCAGTTCCACCTTAGTGGCCAGATTTTTCATTTTC